GGATAGTGCCATCGATGAATAACAACGGCGGTGAAAATGGAGAAAACAACTAAGTAGAAAAAAGCAAAGGGAAAAGGTAATAGGCAAGAAGAAATGAAACGAAAGATAGATTACCATAACCGTCGACAACTCGGTGTAGGAGTTATTAACTGTTGGAATGGCCGATGGTAAGATCCCTACATGAAAGGTGTACCAGAAGTATGCCAGGAATGTGCACAGACGCCTTGATGCCATGCGACAACAACCGGCTGAATGCGAATTAGAAAGACTGTCAGCCTCCCGTAACTACTCGCGAAATCGAGGCTGCAACCAGCGGATTAGATCAGACGTTAAAATCACATAGCCACAGGTCGACTTCTCTACCAGAAAGTCTAAACCGGCCGTCTCCAAATGCTATCGAGCGATTACTTTGAGACTAGCTAAACAGATACCGACTTCAAACAGTACTCACTGGGGCAGGTAACCGAAAAAAATGCAACAAAAAAGGCGATTCAATGCAGCGAGGAAGCTTGCTATGGAGCACCGATTGGAGACCTCACTATCCACGAGAAAAGATATAGAAGCACAGGTGGTCAGAGAAGACTAACCAGTCAGCAATGCGCACTAAGCATATTTCGACCCAAACAGCAAGACGCAGCAAACTTTTGGTGGCATGTACGGTAAAGACGAGATATTCCACAAAATAAGTAAACATCCAAACCACTTTTCAACACCCACTGGAGGATAATCTGTGGCTTCGGAGTGCCGGGCAAGTTTCGCGACAGTAGCTTGAACCACGGAAGTGCGAAAAAGTGTAAAAACAAGTGGTTATCTATGAAGTGGCTGGGCCAGTCTCCAAAAGTACCACAATATCAACGAGCTCTGGGCTTGTTAGTCAAGCACCTGACAAAAATTTCACTCTAGAAGTAATAGGAAAACAGAACGCAGCAGAAGCAGCAACAGCAACAGAGCAATACTTTGCATTGACGCTCCATTGTCGTACAAGCATAAATATCCCACGAATGAGCAACAAGATGGAGGAGAGGCTTGATGAAAGACTCGTATGCTCTTAGTAGACATACAGGATCACACTGCTTACACTCTGTTAACGGTGTACGGTTACAGACATCCATGACGAAGGGGAAACCGGTGCAGATCCCACTGATTACATGTCTTCAAGAATCATTGAGCCTCAGTGAGATGATGCATATCAGAAATCTAGAAGAGGACGAACTAAGGCTAATGCCCCCATGATTCCCATGTGCTCGTTTATTCGTTGTGATAAATAGAGATGTCTGCTGGCGAACACCAGTAGGAATGAATTCCCTCAACAGACCAGGTCATCATCATCATCAACAGCAGTACATCAGCCATTTGAACTGATGCTTCGCTGCCATACAACCATGAGGACTTATGAAATAAAGAATAAGAAGAGGGAGAGAAAGGGGGACTTACCTGAAAACCTTAATACCCTAAACAAACATTCAGGGTCAAAGCGCCTACACCTTGTGTAGACAACATACCGTCACAAACAGCTAGCTATCGTGCAAAGATAAGGCGGCATCGTCGAGACAGCTTCCTTGCGGCTTTCACTGACACGCGTCATAATCAGCCATTACCCCGCAGATAACTCAGCACCAAACACACTTTAAACAGGCAATCCGATTAGGAGACGGCAGCAGACGCGCCACTGGTGTCTACTGCGAGCCATGTCCTGTAAAGTCTCGAGCCAAGTAAAAGGCGAGTCATGTGGACTCCAGCCCGGAAGGCGAGACGGACCAACGGCACCCAGTTTGGTTGTCAGTGACTTCATTTCCCGCTGCCAAGTCAACTTCTGTCCACCTCGAGTCTTGCGCCATCCTACACTTGGTAGACTGAACAAGGCTCTCCTAGATAAGCGATGACCAGGCATATGTAGCACGTGCCCGAGCCAACGCAACTTATTCAGTGCTATCTGTTGTTCTAGGGAGCTAGCATGATTATTACCACCTAGTACTCGCCTACGCACATCATCGTTGCAGACACGCTGGTGCCATCCGACACCAGCAATGGTTCGCAAACAACGATGATCAAAAACTTGAAGGCGCCTCAGATCTTCAGACCGAAGGGGCCAAGTCTCACTACCATACAGCAGAACGGCCCTCAATGTGGCCTTGTATACACGGCCTTTCAGACGGAGGGAAACTCCCTTCTGTCGCCAAAGGTGCCGCAGGTTCAAGAAGGTAGCTCTGGCTTTTGCAATGCGTGAGCCGACGTCAGTTTCTATGCGCCCATCATTGCTGATTCAACTGCCAAGATAAGTGAAATGATCAACCACCTGGTGGTGGTATGGAACAGATCGGCTAAGCACGTTGGAAACATCTCTCAGTAACGATGGACCGTTACAGAGCCCTAGCGATAACAACCATTACACGGTACTGTACAACGACATTTCAAAAGAGTAATCTAGACTTATGAATACCACTGCAACAGCGCTCCACCAAGACTGACAAAGAAAAACATAAGTGTGAGAAGAACTGAAGAGATACCCCGAGAGATTGATGGATACGTATGAGAACTTAGTTGAAAAAAGGGAGTCGATCGAGAGGGCGAACATGACTGTTACAAGATGCATCGCCTAGTTGCGACATGGAGTAACCAGTGGCACTAGATTAGGCAACTTGAATCAATAGGTAATTCTAAGGGTTAACTCAATGTAAGATAGCAAATCAAAATTGTCCGACGGGTTTCAACAGAGACATTCCAAGAGTATATGGCATTCGGCGATTTCCGGATACGTTGGAGGCATTAGCCACACTAATCAGTTGCTTCTCGTAGTTGACCACATGTTGGATGGTGTAGCAGTTATCTTTCCGGCGGATTAGTGACCGTTGGTTTATTCGCACATTTCCACGGTTTGTTGTGTTTTATCATCTACATGGTGACGGAGCTATGGCAACCGGATCTGCTATGCTTCGATGGCCTAATCACAACTGGGTCTCAGGATGGGACGGACTGAGAAATTATAATTCATTAAGAGTAACAAAATTGATATACTGGTTCTTAGTGGCCTTCCAAGCATACACGTTTGCATGTGAGCTGATGAATAGCCCAAACCTAGGTACACTATCGAATGGGTAAGTTGGATCTGAACGCGGCGTCTCATCAGGTTACAATAAACACAAACACAACGGTATGCGTTATCGGTACGCCGGTACGCAGTACCGACGCTTCGCTGCCGCGCAACCATCACAAGTCGCACATGGGCTAAGGATACTGTGAGACGCCCGGTCCCCTACACAGGTTCGAACCCGTGACCTCAGGATTACAAGACAGGCATGTGATCTTTAAGACTACGGAAAGACGAGGAATAAAACTCATCTGCACAAGTCAGATGGTCGTGCACTCTTGTTAATGATGCAGAGCTGCATAAATTCAGAAATGCACTCTACATAGTAATAACTACCAGTAGCCAAAGGTTTCGCTACCCCCTAATCTATGGTCGACAGAGTAGAACTCTGCCGTATGTTTAGTCTGCAGGATGGAGCAAGTTTTAAGACAACGAGGGACTGGAAGCATGCGCCGTGACAAACAATTGGCTCCAGACATACCTTCGCCAAAGCACCTGAATTCGGTGCAGTGTGTTACAAGTTATCGCGCATTGTAACTTCTAAGGGAGGGGAAATGTTAAAGATGACCACAATCGTCAATGACTGCGGCAACTGTGTATGGCCAAATCATTGGAATCATTTCAAATGAACACTTTTATTCGTAATCAACCGATGCGCACACGATCGAGAATGGGGTACTGATGAAACGGGAGCCAGTGATCTAAATGGGATGTACAGGCACCCTGCACCCAAACGCATAAATGTGAGGAAATCTGACCGCCGCATGCAACGGCTCCCAACAAGGCTGGGTGTGTGTGTGTGCTTAGATTTCGTCTCCCGTGTAAGTGGTTGCTTATGGGTGGATCAACGCGAAACAGGTGAGTGCAGACGGAGGTACGCTACTTGTGGACCACGGGGGGGGGGAACGGTTGGCCTACCAACAGTGAATCTTCATCATAATGATTGTATTCCACCTGGCCAATCTGTTGTCATAGAGATACGCTACGGCGTTCACGAAACGTATTCAGACGCCCGCTATTTGAAAGGCACACTTTGTGCGGGCTGTGTAACTCATGCTAATGTAGCCGCTGGCCTCTTAGATCTCAGGACAAGCAAACTACTGTAAGGTAGGGGGAGAATGCAGATGTTTAGTGAGCTATCAAGTCGGCGGTGGGAAATGTGGATAGAGGCGGATACTCTGCCTATGCTGCAGAAATCGGACGGTCTACTGAAGCAGAAAAAATACTGGGGCAAGAACCTAGCTGAACTGATAGCACTCAGATTCTAGGTTAGCAACGTCAATGTCCGCTTTGTCCAACTGCACATACGGCTGTGCGTATGATCTCTGTAGCACGGTATAATAGATACATCGCGCGCCTTTCCGGACTCCATGAATGGTGTACCCGAGGAAACAGAGTGGTCGATGTGGTATCAATTGTCGGTTTCCGTGAATAGTTGAAAATGAAGTTCCTGCAAACAGGCGGGCGGAATGTGTTCCCTCTGGATTGGAGCATCAATATGGGGCCAGGACTGCGATAGATCACTGAAAATGGGGCTATAACTTACTTTGAAGCAGGTCTCAGTTGACCGGATCACTCAGGACGCAGTTGAATTGTGGACACAGTTTATGTAACCCACAGCAAACAGCGAAATTTCATCCGGCGCACATTACCGTGAGGGATCCACCAAAATGTCAGGAAGAAATACCATAAGACATAAGGAGAGACAAATTGTACAAAAGTTGAAGAAAATGTCTTCTGCGCACCAAGTACCTGCTCTCCTAGGACGGTATCTCAGATACAAAGTGGCACCAATGTAAAGTGTAAAAATGAAAATCGAACCAAATCGCAGAGAACACACAGAGCATCGTTGTGAAACCATCTGGCAAGTGAATATAATGAGGAACAAAAGGTACATGGACAGAAGACTGACTTGCTCGACAGCCGCGTTGGCAGCTTTCAGCATACTGTCCACGTTTTGAAAGTATTCACACACTCGTTTCAGCACGATGCCCTTGCTTTGGTACTGTGATTTGGCCTGTTCATCCGGGGGAAGAAGTTTGTACAATTCGCTAATCCACGTGTTGATCCGGTCACGGCGCCTTCGCTCAACTGCATAAGATGGAAGATATGGGAATTATTAGAATCGGCGGGTTTGTGCCGGTCTGTGTGCGGCGTAAAAACGGACCGATGGCAAGTGGCCTTAAGTGAATTACGAAAAAGACTGGGGGGGGGGGTTTTCGTGGGATGATCGATTCCGACAGCAGTAGAACTAGTGCATAATTCGACTACAATGGTGCAAATTATTCACACGGTGCACGTGTCTGGTCGTGAAGTATTCAACGACATCTGATTTTCGTCTGTCAAATAGTTATGGTAAATGGCAAGTTGGAAAGGGTGACAAACAGATCGCTCGTCATCGGACACTGCAGCCATCACAAGAACGGGGTGAATGTCCACATTGGGGGCAATAAAGCACACTGTAATTCGTAGGTATCACGTGGACACACCAGATGGAGTGTAGTAAGGCCGGCAAGAATAAGGAAATGGAACACTGGTAGCTCGGGTTGATAATTCAGTCGCTCAATCGATTGTCGAGCTCGGCAGAAGCATACCTCGACTCACACTGCTTCGCTTCTGGCAGAGATCAGAGAGGCGCCGTAATATGATGCACGGGAGCAGTTTGGAAGTGTGATCCAATGATAGACAACATGACAATTTGGGAAAGACACCGCCACGTTACTCGCTTAAGTGTGGTGCATAGATGGCAATTTGCGTACGGACAAGGTGGCGATAAGCCGTGAATACGGAGACCGGTTTGAAACTGGGAGATAAGGAGGATGTTTGTGAAGCCGGAGGTATAGAAAGCAATGATGTTAAGAACACAGAAGATGGAAGTTGTTTGACAAACGAGTTTAATACTCAGTAAAACACACCAGCTGAGCCCGAAAAGCAGGAAACAGGGCCAAAAAGCATGTAATTAAAATGGTGAAGACAGATGAGGCTTGGATGAGGGGTAGTTGTACATGAAAGAAATTGAGATCACATGGCACAATTCGGGGACGCAATCATGATCCGAGTGTCGAAATGCGGTGGTACCAATCGTCAAGGCTGACGTCACAATAAGAATAAAGTGGATGTGACAGAATACATGAATATGCCAGCAGCAGACCAACGGAAGAAGTCAGAAAAAAGGCAAGAAATCAGAGACTGTGCAGAAGAGGTAAGGACAGATGGGTTGCGCACCATCAGGTCACCAGGTTACCTCGTTGCCGATACAAGAGACAAAACGTGAATGAACCGGAGGACAGGAATGATGAAGCGCTGCTGGGTCGAATAGAGAGCAAAAACTACATCGATTCAACGCAGTTAAGGCACCGTGAAGTTTGCTTTAGCGAATATATTGAATTGTTCTCAAGTGCCGTAATTAGAAGGAATGTGAAATGAGCGCATCAGCTATGCTTCGTGTGTTGCAGCAAACGATGACGACTATCACTAGAAAAGTATTACCAACACCGCGTGTATACTTGCAACCGATCCGGTCGAGTGACGATCCCACAAACCAAATGTGCATTCCAACTTCAGCAGTAGTGAGTTCCCTTTTCAAGCGCACAAATGTAATCGGATGCATGCGTAAACATATCGGAATGAGGCATACGTGGAGATGTGTGTGTGTATAAGTGTGTGTCGGTTTGTATTGATCAAGCAATATGCCAAACGGCGCGTGCAAACATTGATCGAAAAATTCGGGTCAGATCCAGATCACGGACGCGTATAATCATCAGTGGACACATCCAACACCACCGCTACGGCAGTCACGCCACGTATCCACAAATGCGTGCTAACGAACGAATGGGGCCGATCGGAGCGGAGAACGCCACCTACGATGGCGTCAGTCCATCGATGGGAGCGGGACCTCACACTGCGCAGCGTTGTGAATCTTGAGAATCATAATCACCGCAGCAAAAGGGACAGGCCGAGAAACAAATTTCACTGCACTGAAACAATAATAATCCGATTGCAAATGGTGACGCTGTGGTCAGTTTGGAACAGGGTTAGTAAAAGAAACTGTTTGAGCCCAGAAACGGAACCGATTTGGATGGTGTCAAATAGCAGTGTGCATGCATGGACCGTTGAGGAACGCCGGCTGTCAGTCTGAAGGCGAATTCAGAGGCGTGGACCCAACAAGGCAAACAACCCACCATTAAGCATGGGAAACAATAGTTGACAAAGTACAAGCTCAACAGGGCTGTTATAGAGTACGAATACTAATACATGATACATTTTAGCTACAGGTGGAAAACACCTCAGTCATAGTGTCGCAATACAAAAGAAAAGAGAAAAAATGCAACAGAGGCATGTTGGTTGAGTCACCAGTAACGGATGAACATCGTTCCGGAGAGCAAACAGCTGGTTATTGTGCCGAAAAGGAGTTATATGACGTCTAATAAATGAGATCGTGGTTGAAGAGGGAGGGACAAAGAAGCTCAAAACACAAACGCCATTGAGGTTGGCTCTTAGCAATGTCAACAACTGTATCCAGCCAAATGCGTTCATCGTCCTTCGGTCCCCACCTAGGGAGCCGAGAGGATCCAACCAACGCCAGCTACGAACTAAAGGCATTCATTCATCTTGACCAAGTCATAGCTAGGCCACCTCTCCTCTTCTTACAACCACACCCTGCGCACGAACAACGCATGACGCGGGAGTCGGTGGGCTGGCATGGGCAACATGTGGCCCAGACATCGGAGCCTGGTGCGAGAAATAACGGTGACGAGTACTAAGGGTTGTCTACAACTACGAGGGAACCTAGACCACACAGAGTATACACATAAGACAGAAGGTGTCCACACAATGGACACCAAGAACCGTTGAATGGAATGCGAATAACAAGTACAAAAATCACAAAGTGGGAAAATGACAAAAAATCGATTGTCTGGGGTTTTTCGCACATCGTTTTGTCATTTCTGTCAGTTTAATGATTAAGGTGTTGATCAGTAGAATCAATGTACAAATTCATGCAGATCTTCTATTGCGCCCGACTCCGCGTAATATCCACAAGGGTCTCCAACCAGCGATGTTTATCATGCATGACTCTTCAGCCAGGAAGACGTACGGGGCCGATAACAGCTAGACTGGAAGTCAGCGTCTTGACGTTTTGTCGTCATGTGGTAGGTTGGCCCCGGCGCGATTTCTTCCATTGCGGCCAGAGCGCACCGTCGTAAACCATCGCAAGGCATAAGCAGGACGTAACGGAGTCACCTCAGTTTGAGCAGCGATATCAGTTTGTCGATGGGGATGTGGGTAGTGAGCAAGACGCGACGTCCAACATAATTTGCAAACATGATGCTCAAGCCACAAAAGAGTTGTCCTCCGCTGACAACCGTTGTCAAAGGACGAAATTGGACGTAAAGCATTTAGACAGATCGGTCACGACTCGCTTTCGTACATCAGTACCGTACGAACACATGTATGGTAGACCCTGCCCTTTATCAAGTATGAAACGTCACGATGTCACCACAGATGTCAGATCGGCGAAAACTGATCGGGTTTAGGAACTATGGAGAGAAATCTCCCTTCCAATGGTGCCACGAGAAGAAACACAGCAGCCAAGGTAGATGATGCTATTCACTTGTTTAAGCGGCGCGAATTCAAGAATCAGCATCGTGACAGGTTGATGCCAAGCATGGAGTAGGACTATACTTTTTGATGGAGAAAAGGTCATGCCATACTTGGTAGTGACTTACACACTCTGGGGGCAATATGGTTAGTATAGTGCAAAAAGAAGCTATGGAAGGAGCTCTACATCAGAACTTTGTAGATTTTCCAGAGCGCTTAGTAGGACATCTTCAAATGCAAAGTTGGTGAGAAACGGGGATATGGGGCATCCTCATCGTACACCGTTAGTGATAGCAGAAGAGGAAAAAAAGTTACCGTAGGCCCTAGCTCTGCCCGAGAGATTGTTGTGTAACGAGCAAACACCGGCTGTATACATTTCGGGTACCCTACTGCTTTGCAGACGCCATAAAGCAGGCCGATCGACAGAGTCGAACGCAGTCCAGATGTCCAACAAGGCGAGAATGGTAGGCTGGCAGTAAAGGTAACAATGCTCGAGGAGTCGACGGAGCGTAAACTTGTGGTATACAAACTCACGACTGGAGCGGAAACCAATATGTTCTTCACGGGAGTGCAGTGCCCTAATCGGTGTTACCGTGCAGAGTAGAATAGATGTTAGCAATTTGGAGCGGAGATGTGGCCTCTCAGCGACCGACCAGTGATTCAACAGTATGATTGGCCGGAAGAGAACAACGCTTTCTGCAAGAAAATCTGTGAGGTTCGATGTCTTGAGGTGGAGCACTAGCGAAGACGTCTGGTAATGAGAATTGATATGCCAGTTATATGGAGGGGTGAGCTAGCCTGTTGGTATCCAGCGTACGGTGTTTTCGTTACGAGGAACCCCGAAAGCGCATACAGATGTCCACCCAGACCAGAGCGTGATCTAAGTCAAAGTAGGTAGACCAAATCGATCCGCAATCCAATACACTGCCTCGTCATCAGAAGCTGACTACAATGTGATCAATTTGTGACCACGCTTGTATTGGCGAAAGGGTGAGTCAGGTGGCGGCGCATTACCTCGAATGCCTGAAGTTCGTGCTCAAAACAGGCGGTTGTGCTTACATAATGTGAAAAGCCCATCTCTGTTATCAGAGCAAGTCTCATTAAGGGCATGACGGCCATCAAGATGAGGCTCGCATGACATCAGACGGCCAGTCCGTACATTTAAGTCTCCAGTAAGGACAAGGACATCGGATTTTTCGACCTTACTCCAACACTGGTGGAATCCGCGATAAGATTCGTCCCAAATCGATGTACAGATGCAGTCGGTCGGAGAGTAGGCGGAGATCAAAAACAAATTGCCACCTTCTCTACGATGTCTGCTGATCTTGCATGAGCCTAGGAGACGAATAGCACACAATTAAAAATCAATGGAGAAGCGAGGCCTCAGCTTTGTCACTGGATGCGATATCGACCGGCAACTGGCCTAAAGGATGGCTGAGCATTTTGCAAAGTGGTTGAAGAAATCCATGGTACAACATGGAGTGAAGGATCAA